CCAGGGGTCCTCAAACTATGGCCCGTGGGCCACATGCAAATACAAATATTGTATTTGTTCCTGTTTTGTTTTTTTACTTCAAAATAAGATATGTGCAGTGTGCATAGGAATTTGTTCATAGTTTTTTTTTAAACTATAGTCCGGCCCTCCAACGGTCTGAGGGACAGTGAACTGGCCCCCTGTTTAAAAAGTTTGAGGACCCCTGACTTAACCAATCATACCTATGTAATAAAGTCTCCATAAAAACCCAATAGGAGAGGGTTCAGAAAGCTTCTGGGTTGATGAACATGTGGAGATTTGGGTAGGGTGGCACGCTTGAAGAGGGCATGGAAACTGCATCCTTCCCCCTATCCCTTGCATTAAGCATCTCTTAATTCTTCCCCCTATCCCTTGCATTAAGCATCTGGCTGCTCCTGAGTTATAGCCATTTACAGTTGACTCTTGAACAACAAAGGGGTTGAGGGGCCAACCATGCTGAATAATTGAAAATTCATGTAGTAACTTTTGATTCCTTAAAAACTTAACTACTAATTGACTACTGCTGACCAGAAGCCTTACCAATAACATAAATAATCAATTAACACATATTTTGTATGCTATATGTATGTATACTGTATTCTTACAATAAAGTAAGCTAGAGAAAAGGTTAAGAAAATCATAAGGGAGAGAAAAAACATTTTATAGTATTTACTGAAAAACATCCACATATAAGTGGACCTGCACAGTTCAAACCTGCATTATTCAAGGGTTAATAGGTAATCTAGAGAGTAAATGGATTACCTGAGTTCTGTGAGACGCTCTACCAAATTAATCAAACCTAAGGAGTGGGTCAGAAGTACAGGTAACAGCCTGGGCTTGTGATTGACATCTGAAATGAGCAGCAGTCTTGAGGGACTAAGCCCTTTACCTGTGGAATTTGACACCATCTCCAGGTATATAGTGTCAGAATTGAGTTGAATTGCAGGACACCCAGCTGATGTCATGAGCATTGCTTGGTGGTGTGGGGGTAAACCCCTCCCTCCACACATTGGAATTGGGTCCAGAACCCTCTTAGGAGGAATAGGTTGAAGTACGACAACAACATACCCTACCAAAAAGCTACTATGCTAAAATCAGCTCCAAACAAGAGAGAAACATCTCTAATATCAAGAAAAGAATTATTTAAAGTGTTGAGGTAGAAAGGCTAAACCTTCAAGATTAACTTGTCATGTCCCATAGATGGAGATACTGAAGTTTAATAGGAGATATGTCTTCTCTATGGTCACAAAGAACCAGACCTGGGACACAGGTCTCTTGCCCTGCCCTCAGTCCAGTTCTTCTACTAAACTATGTTGTTTCTCTAGATTATGCTATTGGCCGCTTCCAATTGTTTTAAATGCAGCTGTTTAATGAAAGATAAAGTAGAAAACTTAGCCACAACATAAATCTGTACTCAAGTTAAAAGATAAGGTAACAGGACAGTTAAATCAGCATATATACAGCCAGACCCAAGCAACTGGAAGATTTTTCTCCATCTGATCCATCATTCAGTTCTGCTCAACTCAAATGGTTTGCTTGTTAAGTGAGATGTATGTGGCTAAACTGAGAGATTAAGTTGTGGTTAACACATTAGTCCTTAATTTAAAAAGTATTGAAGACCACCATACAAGTTATAAAAGATTAAGTAGTACTGATATATAAATGGAGGTTGTATATCTCCCACCATTGCTTAGTAATAACATTACCTAGGCCATATTCTATGGAGTCTGGATGATCGTCATCTCCTTCTTGGCTGACCTTCTGGAGATGCTGCAGATAGGCATCGGTGTGGAAGGTGGCCATCTCCTCCATGGAGGCCACTTTGGGCTTAACTATTCTAATAATAACAGAGAACAAGGAGAGGTGAGTGAGTCAGATCCAGAGCATGCCAAAAGCTAGAAGCAGGAACTAGTGATATGAGCAGAAAATATAACTAGCTTCTTGTTCCAGTGGCTAAAGTAATAAACATGTTCTGTTCTTCCAGTGCACTATATACCAGTCTTTATTTCCTCGAAACTATGTAATGGCTCCATTAATGGGGGTGAGAGGATAGATTTTTCCCTTGAGTGTATAGGTAGTAAAAGAAAGTATATTTAAGTTAAATAATCAGATATTGGACATTACTTTGAGAGTTATAAATTTCATGACAAATCAGCAGGCTGAGATATTTTCATCTGAATCAGCTCCTAATTGGGTCATGTAATCCTTTCAGCTATATTTTTACTTTCATAGGCAGTTATATTGTTATGAATTTTGAATTTGGAGTCAGGTAACTATATTCCTGTACTAACTGTACTTACCAGCTCTATAACCTCAGATAAGAATTCTTCTGTAGCTCAGTTTCCTCATCTGTAAAGTGGGGAGATCTTATGGAACTTATATGATAACATATATAAAATGCTTTGTGGATAATCATTGTTAATATTAAAGGATAAAAAAAGGGAACCCAAAACATAAAAGTTCCTGTGTTTGGTCCTTCACACCTGCCTCTGAGGAGGAGGAGAGGAAGGGCAAACAGTTGGAGCTGGGCTTTACCCAGAAGCTCCCAACCAACTCCTCACAAGAAGTGACAAACAGGAGTGACTGAGAGAATACAGATGCTAAGCTAATGACAGGACTTACCACCTCTAACTTCTAGCTGCCTATTTATTCCCTATTTCCTCTTCCTGATTCCACCACTGTCTCTACTGCCCAGACCACTCAAAGGGTGGTCTGTGACTGACAGCAGCATCACCTGGGGGCTTGTTAGAAAGGCAGAATTTAGCCTAACCTCCCACCCACTGAGTCAGATTTGTATTTTAACAAGGTAATTCATATGCATATTTAAGTTGGAAAAGCAATAACCTAGGCCACAAGGAGGCAGTACTGTTTTTTTAATGTTTGTTGATTGGGAATAGGGCCACATGTAGGGAGCGGCTATAGGGTTAAGCCTGGGACTGACCTGTTGGCAAAGCCACAAACAAGTCCCAGCTTAGAGGGCACAGCCCTCTTAGCATAATTAGGCTTGACCTTATGACTCCCTAGATCAGTGGTTCTCAACCTTTGGGCTGTGGGAGGTGCAGCCAAGTGCTGCCAAAACAAGTGAAACTCACAAGAACATTGTAACTATGGTGACCACTACCTTGTTTAACAACATTAGTAACAAAGAAACAGAATTTCCGGAGGATGAGGCCCAGAAATCAGGATTTTAAAAAGATTCCCAGGTGATTCTAATGTGCAGCCAAGGTTGAGAACCACTGCCCTAGATCTTATCTGGGAAGCTAATGGGCTGTGGGAGGTGCAGGAAGTGCTGCCAAAACAAGTGAAACTCACAAGAACATTGTAACTATAGTGACCACTACCTTGTTTACCTCCAGCTATAAAATAAAGGTTCAGCTTGCCCTCTGTGGCCTCAGCCAGGCACAGGAGATCCACCTAGGTCTCTTTGTCTTTTCTACATCCTTCGCTGCCCGCCACCCCCACCCCTCAGGCTCACAGAACCCTTGGCTGTGCTGGCCCAGCACAGCCACAAGTTTCTCCTGAATTACTATGACTTTTCATGTTAGGGCAATCACCAAACAGGCCAGAAGAATCCTGAGGCTCCGCCTCAAAAATTATATATAGCCAAGATTGGAGGATTTGATTCTTGCTCCTTCTTCAAGAAAACATGTCTACATCCTTGGAAGTGACAAATCTGCCCATTAAAATAAATTTTTTAGTTTCTTGGACCATGTTTCCCAGCCCTAATAGTTCTTCTACTAACCTTCCTCTTACTTAACACTTACTGAAAGCCTCCCCATGTACCCAGCAAGGAAATGTGACAGTTTTACTTTGTTTTGATTTCTTGTTTGTCTTACAGTCAGCTTTTGAAATGTTAAATGACTTTAATGGAAGGCATTCGTTTTTATGTTTATCAAATATATGGGTTGAGAAACATTCCCAAAGAAGGTGCTCAATAAATGATTTAGTTAATAAAAAGGATAAAATCTGAAAGCCTGTTACAGTACGTCTGGGAGAGAAATGAGGCATATCACACTAACAGGTGTAAACAGACATTTATTTGGCCAGAAAATGTCATAAATAATTCTACAAGCGTCAGGGTTTTACTCTTATTTACTCTTAAAATGACAGTGAGTTCACTTTAAAAAAAAAATGCACTTAGCTCTGTGCCTGGTCACAGGAATTTTCTTTGGTTTTGACTTGTCTCCAGGCTCACTCATTAAAGTTTGGTGGTGGTTATGGTGTGCCTAGAAGTCTTAAGTTGAACCTGCACCCACAGATCTGGCTCAGGGGGAAAAACAAATCAGAACACCTCCTAGCTGAACACCTATTATTTAGTGCCCAAATGTATTCACCTCAAAATTTCCACAAAGCACCTATCCCTATGAGACTTTCTTTTTATTTTTTATTGAATTTACTGGGGTGACATTGGTTAATAAAATTGTATAGGTTTTGCCCGGCTGGCGTGGCTCAGTGGTTGAGCGTGGAGCTATGAACCAGGAGGTCACGGTTCGACTCCCAGTCAGGGCACATGCCTGGATTGCAGGCTTGATCCCCAGTGTGGGGTGTGCAGGAGGCAGCCAATCAATGATTCTCTCTCATTGATATTTCTATCTCTCCGTCTTCCTTCCTCTCTAAAATCAATAAAAATAATAATAATAAAAACTCTACTTCTTTCAGAGCAAACTTTAAAAAAATTATATAGGTTTCAGGTATAAAATTCTACAACACATCATGTGTATATTATATTGTGTGTTCACCAGGATACTTTCCCTCTCAACAGTCAAGTCCTATTTGAAATGGATCATAAGTGCTTCGTGCATTTTTTTCAAGTTTTCTTAATTCTTAAAGAGCTTTTACAGGCAAATTATATACCCTATGAATCACAAAAAACTTTAAAAGAAGCACCACTCTCTCCCTAATTAGTCCCACTGTGAAGCAGGATTTTAAGGCCAGGACCACCTGGGTTCAGGGCTTTGTTCATGAAAGATAACTTACCTCATTTGTTTATGCAGTGCATATGCTTCAATCAAAGAATGTACCATACTGGCCTAAAAACATCAGCAAAAAGAAAAAAGCAGAAAATAGTCCCTTAATGTTTAATTCCGAGAAATGGTGTGGACTTCATTATCCTGAACAAAGGAACGAACTTTTAGCCCCACTCTTTTCGTTTTACTTAACAGTTACAAAGCACTGCAGACAATATAGATACCAATCGCTAAGGAGAAAGCTACGGGGCCTGAGGGAGCTGATGGACCACTTTTGTCCTGCAGCTTCTCCACCGCTTCAGGGA